AAAGTAATGGGCTTGCTTGAGGCAGGGAAAGAAGTGACACAAACAGCTACAGCAATCAGGACAGTGGTGTTATTCTATCCTTGTCTGTGAAAGGATGACTGGGTACATGCACTGAGAACTCTTAGTGCTATGTCTCAAGGCTTGTCTCAAAGCACTCTTAGTTTATGGGAAAGAAAGCTTTTTTTCTAGACCAGCATTCTATCGTGAGCACAAATGCCTGATGTGAGTTGAATAAACTTTGCTGCCTAGGGAAAATTTGAAACTCCAATGCATTTGATTTTGTACCTAAAATGCAGTGGCATGTTCAAATCACCACAGGTTCATGGATGTGAATCCAATCACCCTGTTGTTTCAGTGAGTTGCTTATGGCTGTTTTCAATCAAGTATTTCAGAAGTGTTAAACTTATTAACTCATTTACCGGGTCAAGTGAAACCAAATCCAAAGACTTAAAGGAATAAAAAAAACCAGTAACAGATATGTTAGCATACAGCTTTGCAGGCTGTTTCTCATATCCCTTTTATTTACTTATCTGACTTGACATTTTTATAATGTGACACTTATTACATTAAACACATGTCATCAAGGCTTCTTAGGTGGCTTATTCTATTTTTTTTTCCAATTATTTTCTTCAGTGTACATTCTACTTCAAAGTTCAAACTTCAAATTAATGCATTTCCATTTCAATCAGCCCCTTTTTACAGTTGTTTTCTTTTTAAGTTTTTCATGTTTATCATAGTTTTTCTATCTGGAGAGGCAGAGATTAGATTGTTCTCATTAGTATTTTTAGTGTATTATCTGTTGAGTGAAATCTCTACATCTGCAAGTTCGTATCTGCACGTTTTTATTTTTTCTTTTTTTTTCCCAGCTTCAATCTAGTGTATGTAATTGTAAGTAATTCTTCTGGGTCTAGTGTTAAATACTAGTTTCTGTAGGTCAAAGGATAAATTCTTTCCGTATTTTAATATTTTGATTTGCAAAGCCTCAGAACTGGATTATAGATATAGAATATATATATATATATGTGTATATATATAAAATTCTATAGGATACATGGGTAGATACAGAATTCTAGAAAATGGAATTTTATTCTGATAATGTAGAATAACAGAATAAAAATTAGATAATCATATTTTTAATAAGCACCTCGCTCTACTGTCTTATTTTTTTTTAATAATTTTAAAATTATTTTAGCTTTTTACTAAACAAAACGATTTGAGAGATTCAAATTGAAAGCTGTACATCTACTCTGTCTTACGGAATACAGAGATGACAGATAGTGACCTCCTTTGTTGGCTGCTGGTTTTCCAAAGCAAAAACTTATGTGACAAAGATGCTTAGCATTAATTTTATTTCTGTTGTACCACATGATATGATGAAAATGCGATAATAGTGGTTTATTTATGTTAAGCGTACAGGTTGCTTATTGCACCATTGTTGAAAATCTTCATTTTAATTGTCAGGTTTAAGTGCTACCACCATAGGAAAAAATAGGTTGTCTGTAGTCTACCATTTTTTTCTCACATCATTTTATGAGTAAGCTAGTTTTCAGTGAATACTGGTGAAAAGTCAATTAAATTATCTTATGACTACTTTTCTGAATGATTTATACTTTTAATTAAACTATGGTTGTGTTTTGTCAAATTTCTTCTGAAGCAATATGTACCACCTTACCTAGTAAATATCAATCTCTTAGATACAAATCTGTAATTTTAAATGCAGTGACCTTTAACTGTAGTGTCTTTGTTCTTTGTAGGTCTAGGAAAATAAGGGTGAATGTTTAATTTAAGAAACTTGGGCAAAAAATGACAACTTGCTAATGCAGTGTTCTCTTTAGATTCTGGAAACTTAGATGTACTGAAATTAAATGGAAGACAAGGATATTAACATGTTAGAAGGTTCCTACTGTAACCTTGCTATAAACATTGTTTTTCATATAGACAAGCAGTAAGAAGAATAAAGTTTAAAGTTTGTATTAATTATGAATACCAGAAGGACAGCTTTTCTCTGCTTGTAAGACGAGTGAAGCATTGAAACCTAGTGATTTGAAATCTCTGTTCATGCAAGTATTCAGAACAGGTTAGACAAAAGGGGTCTGAATACAGCTGAGCTTTCTTCAGTGAGTGGGTTGAATCAATTATATTTATGATGTTCCTGTCAATGAATTTTATGATGTTCCTGCCAGCTGAAGATTTTTACAGTATTTTTGGCCAGTATTTACAGAAGGCTCCATCCAATGTGCTTAATTCTGTATGTGAATCATCTAGCTGAAATCCATGGGCTATAGCAGCAGAAATATTTACAATGTTGAGACTGTAGTTTGACCCATCTGCTTTCTTTGCTGTGCATCACAGTATGCCTAGGAAGAAACAGAAAGCTAGAATTGGATGCCCTGTTTTGCCAAACTAAACTTTGCGAGTAAGTGATTTATTAAAAGGAATTTTATATGCAAGGATCGGAAAGAATTAACTCCAGGGCAGAATATCCCAGAAATTTAGTTAAATTTCATAGCTCTGGTCATTTAGTTTCAACACTACAGAATCCTTCATAGTGATTAGAATTTATAATTTGCAACAGAGTTGTATGAACTATGTAAAGTTTGTTATGGCTTTTGGCTACACCAAAAGGGAGAAACTTCTGCCATTTTAGATCATTAGGAAATGAATGAGTTTGATAGCTTCTCTCCAGCTGGAGCAGGGAAACTTTTCTAACATGAGGTTGATTCATAGCAAGGACTGAAAACAGAAGACTGAATCTCTTCTTGAACTTAATAGCTGTATTTCTGAAGATTAACTGGTTTTATAGCAAAAAAATCGCTATTTGCAGGACAATAAACTGTGTCAATAAACTTTGGGTAGAGGTATGGTAAGCTGTAATTTAACCTGATATTTAGAGATCCTTACATTTGTAGCTTTTATCATACTCTACTCCATTAGTAGCAGATACCGAAGGATATGATTCTTCCAAGTTTGTTTTTACAGTGCTGTGTTCATGTTGAGAGTGACGAGATTGTAGAACTAAGACCAGCTTTGTGTTTTGTCTGAATCTTGAGGACCTTTCTATCATAACTAGATGGAAAATTACTGGCGCATATTTTTTAGTGAGAATAAATTTAAGGACTGCTTTTCATCTTTTGCTAAATCAATGTTTGTCTAGATAGATTGTTTTATTTCCACAACAGCGAGGAAATATACCGACGTAATATGTATAATTTGTGTTGTGATACACGCATATACATTATAGTACATTCTGAGTATGCCATAATTCCAGTTAATAATTGTACAGTACCATTTTGAATGGTACACTTTGGAAATCTGCAAGTTCAGTTTCTAAATTTTTGGCCTTGTCATCTGCTTGCCTTAAACAATTTACTGGGTTTCTGGCTTTGTCAGTGGTGCTTTAATCTATCTTGAGTCAATAACCTCTTTCATAGGTGATAACATTTGCATGCACTGTGCAGCAGTTTGTAAGTACACCTGTACATCCAAGAAAATATTCACATCTTTAATATACAATTAATGAAACATTCTTCTAGCCTTGTTAAATAGCACATAGTGGCCAAAAGTGATATGTGTCATGACTGCAAGTTGTGTCCCTGTGAGAAGGTTGGAAGTGTTGAGACAGCAAAATAATATGTATTTCACTATGTACGAGGAGGTTTTATATCTGGAATGTGCAATTTTAAAATTTTTTTTGCCTATCAACGTCAAAAGATGCTGACAGGTTTTTCTGCAAATCTGAGAAATTGCAAGGGGCCAGAAAATGGTGTCTTCTGTCAATTAAGCTGATTTTTGTTTGATCTAAATTTCTGTGGCAATTGAGTAAATTAAAAGATTAATGTTTCAAAAAGCTATTAGTGTATAAAAACAAAGATACCAAAAGTAATTGTTCTGCAACTGGAAACAAATCTATTAAAAACCTTTTACAGTAAGTGAAATTTAGTTTTCTTGGTAAAGCTGTTTTTTGGTGTTCTGTGAATTGCTGCCCTCCATAATTAGGTTATGTATTTGAGAACTGTGCTAAAACTATAGTGATCATGTACAATTAAGGGTAATTAAGAAAAATTACTTGAAAAATGCATACCTATTCAGAAACATGAGAAAAATCCTTTTGTAATGGAACACAGATAAAAAAATATTACAGTATTACAAAGTCATACTTTTATCATCTCAAGGTATCATCTCTTATGTGAGTGTTGCATTAAAATAAATTACCTGGTCAACTTTGTATTTCTGAACTCTCTGGAACCAAGCTATGAAGTAGTGGACCTAATCTACATCCTTTAAACAGGCTAGGTGGTCACCCTATAATTCAGGTCACATTGTTATGTTCAGTGCAACTATGAAGGTAAGGTAAAGGCAATTCACAAGCACCACAAGTTATGAAAAATACCCTAATTTATTCAGCAGAGATGTCTTTTACTAGAAAAGCAGCAGAAGGTGACTGAATAAATCACTCATATCAGTGCATCCCTTATATCATCCATCTTCTTTTAGTTTGTTTGATTATGCATTCAAATCAGTGAAACTTGTGTGATTTAGGTCCTGTGCACTGCGTTGAATAATTCACCTCAACATATCTGTGTGTTTATGATTCTTCAGTTATTCATCAGTTATTGAACAGTTTAGACATTTTGAAATTGCCCTGTATCTCATTATTTCATCCTCTTTTTTTTTTTGTTGGTTTTTTGGTGGTTTTTTTTCCCCAAAATACATTGAAAACTCAGGTTTGCTTTGAAAGCTCAAATAAAAGTATATGAATGAAATAACAAACTGCTTATTTAAAAGAACCGATTGGATTTCAGACTTGTTACTGTAATTTGTAATTACTCCTCCCCCTTCTTCTCTTTCTCATCCTTTTTGTCCTCCTTTACAAGCATCTTCCCCATCCCTGCGTAATACTGGTGCTATGTACAGTATTTTGTTTACAGTAGTATAAACATTTTCAGCCTGTGACTTCATTGCTGAAATAACTCACCTCTTTCATATCAACTCTTACCTAGGAGCCGTACAGCAGACTCATTGATGTAGGTTTTTTTCTGCATGGCAGCCCAGGCCAAGCTGTGGTTTCATTGCATGATGCAACTTCACCCTTTTTGGTTGTCTATGGGATTAATTATAATCTATTCTTGTATTGCCTGTGCATGCCAATGTGCTTACCATAATGGTGTATACACTGAATGCAGTCTAGAGCATTAAATGCATGAAATGCAATTTTAAAAAATAACATAAAATTAGAAATTTCGAGCAAATGTAAATTATGCTTAGCAATAACTTAAGTTAAGCTTTTATAGAATGAATAGGATATAATATGTATCAGGTCTATTTATTTAAAATTTCCAGATATTACAGTAGTTTATTGACTAGATGCACAATTTCAGTGTGGTCAAGATGAGGGGAAGAAAGAGTGTACTAACTATCCTGTTGTGACAATGGCTGAATGGTGCCAGTAGTATCAGAAAGATAAACCTTTCCCTGCTGTCAACTTCAGCAGCAGGTGACAGGGAAAAGAGGTAAGACTATAAATAATCATTTATTAAAATTCAGAATTTGGGAAGAATTTTAAGTGCAACAAGGTTGGGGGTTTTTGTTTATTTGTTTGGTTTTAATGATGTTAAATCACCTGCAAAATAATTTAAGATGTATTGATTTGTAAAACACACAATGAAATTCCATATGAAGAATTGTAACACTGCTTGAAATTTCTTTTACAAACGACATTGCGACCATCCTAAGCAATGTTATTCATATGTTCTTAAATGTATTCAAATGAACCTTTCATCAGCACAGTATAAGATATAATTTAATGCTAATCTGTCTTTTTCCTTATAAAATGGTGAAACAGCACTTCGGGAAGTGACTTGAAATGTGTCTGAACACAATTTTGTTGTGCTGTTGATCAGTGCAAATGTTCATGTGTATGTGTTCAGACATTATACTTTGTAAGCTTTTTGGTGTCGAAATTTATTTACAGATTTCAAATTAATATTCAAGTTGGTGAATAAGTATTATTTATCTCATGCATTTAACTTTAAGGGCCTGTAATATAAAATGTTATGATGTTTGAAAAATGGTGATAGAAAACAGATATATATATATAAAGTGAAAATATGCTTAGTGTGTACTTTTAAGCAGGAAACTGATAACATGCAATATGTATTCAAAGCAGTAAAAAAGGGAAGTAATTTCCACAAGTCGTGTCATGCCACCCACATGATGATACTCTGCTGCCCTAAGAATATGTATTACTTAGGATTTTATTTTTTATATATTATTCCTGTAGTCCACTTAATGACAGTTGCACTGGTTTGGGGTTTTTAATTACGATGAAGAAAAATTCTTTTAGTACTGTAAAACTGATCAGACATATCTATACAGCAACATGGATTTATTCTTCCTGATATCAGTACAAAACAGATTATTATGCCAGTCCTGTTGACTTCCGAGTAGCTCAGTGTGTAAGCTTAACTACATGCCCATTCTCCCATGCACAGCAGCCAAGATAAAAAGGTGATGGATCACAAACACAGAATTACACAGAACATGCTGAGTTGGAAGGGTCACAAGGATCACTGAGTCTCGCTCTTAGCCCTGCACAGCACCATCACCAAGAGTCACACCATGTACCTGAGAGTATCATCCAAATGCTTCTTGAACTCTGTCAGGCTTGGTGCTGTGACCACTTCCCTGGGCAACCTGTTCCAGTGCCCAACCACCCTCTTTGTAAAGAACCTTTTTCTCATCTCCAGCCTACAGTGCATGCCATTTTGAGATGGTGTTAGAAAAAAAAGGCCGCTATATATTCATTTTTAACATTATTATAATCCTCTTCTTGCACTGATGTAAAGTACTTTTATATCAGGCTTGTGATAATTGATTTGAGCAACTACTGCAGCTGTAGGCAATTCCTTATTCCATTTGTTAATGGAGATACAGTTACTGCTAAAAAAGAAAGGCATAGTGTCATTTATCTGTCTAAAAAGGGACCTTACTTTTCCCATTTAGAAAAACCACTGAGTAAGACTGTCACTAGGCTCCAGGCTAATTTTCTTGTCTGAAAAGTTCAAGTATTTTCTTAATTTCTTCTTTGTTTATTTAAACTTTTTCTGTTCTTTTGCAAAGTAAATGTGACTATTCAGTGAGTCTTTCATAGAATCAGCACTTTGCCTCAAGAATATGGTAATTTGCACTTAAGACAGTGGTGGTAAATAATCAGGTCCCACAGCTGGAACAGCTGTGATAGGAACATTTCTAAGAAGGAAAATTTACTAGATTGCAGTTATATGCATGTGCAAATTAAGCCACAGCAGAGAAGCTTGTGGGTAGAGAAACTGTGTACATGTGTTTCACTTTAAAAAGGTATGTGGAATAAAGACTCTTCAGGAGTCTAGGTTAAAAAAAAGGGAAACTGGGAGAAGGAATTCTCATAGATGTTAATGTCTGCTGGGAATGAATGTGACCTGGATTATCCCTATAGTTGGTTTGAGGCAGAGGAATTTAGAGATAAACTGTGATGCTCAGGATATAGTCAAAGATCTTAAATGGTTACTCTGGGTAGTTGAAAGGTTTTTTACTTGCCTGTCCATTAGACCCAGTAAAGTGTAGCATGTATACAAATGCAGACTTCCTTGGGATAGTTTACAAGTATATACTAGATGTCTCACAGTTTGGGTTGGGAGTAGTTGGGTTGCTTGACCTTTGGCACCCTAAATGTATCTTAGGTTTTAGCTGATGGGTAGATGATAAGAGGGAGAATCTGAAATTATGAAAACTTGTTTGAGACTAATATATATACTAGTTTTATGTAGATTTTTTGAAGGAATGTACATGGTTCATGTTATGCCTTCATTTGAAATAGGAAACAATATATCCTGCCTAGTGTGATTGTATATTAGTACTGCTATTAATACAATATGAATAGTTTTTTAGTAAGAGATTTGGATCATACCACTAAAAAGTCTGACCAAAGAAGCTGATCCAGTAATGTAATGTCAGGTTTCTACCACTTTGCAATACTTCTGGCTTCCATTGCTCATTTACATTATTTACTGTTGTTAAAGTCAAATAATATACCTTAGGTTCAAGTTTATTACTACTCAGTGAAAACTAGATAGTTACCAGATATTTTCCATCAAAATATTGTAGAAGGGAATTCCAGAAAAGATGGTTAGATGAATAAACTGGAAATATTTTAACATTCCAGTTTATCTGGTACTCTTGTCATTTTCAGTTAGAGTAGTTGAACTTAGACTAAATTGCATAGGACAACATATTTATTTTTTTTTTTTTAATTTATAGTATGTAAGCAAGAAAGAAATATATGGAAAATATATTCAAAATCATCTGTAAGAATCTGTTGTACGTATTAAGCAGAAAATTAGAACTCAATTCTTGGATGATGTACAAAAGAAAAAATAATTTTAATTTGGAATCAAGTATGATAGGTGGAGAACATTCTTATTTTTAGTCACTGTATGTATTATTTCAAAGAGTTCAATCAGTTGAAGGAGAATTTTAAAAGCTGGACAACAGTATCAACAGTATAGAAGGATAATAAAAGACACTGAGATGGAGGAGTAGTTGGAGCTGGAAATGGATGATGATGGTGGGCTGGTGAAAACTGAGTTTGAGGAAAGTGGATAGCAAATTGGAAAGCATTATTGGGTAACTTTAGGAGATGGCAATTGCAAAACAGAATCATCAAATAGAGCAAGAAGGCATCTCAGGAGTTCACTCTTTTTTCCACTGCAAGGTAAGACCAGCTCTACATAAATTTATTCAAACAGACACTTATTTAGAAGTTCAATGGTTTGTAGGCCCTCTCCTACAGAAGGAGGAAGTTTTAGAAATATCACATATTTAGATCATTCTATTGACATATGCAAATGCAAGGACTTTAAGTGGTCCATACAAACCAGGCTGAAAAGTATTTACTGTTTTAAAAATCTGATATTCACTGTTCTCCCCAGAGAATCTACTCTAGTGTTTAGCTATATGTTTTAACTAGAAAAGTTTTATGCTTCTGATATACTTCTTAGTAACTTTATCCATTTCCATTTGTTCAGTTCAATGTCAACATGGAAAAGGGATTAGTCTTCTTTTTGCATGATCATGTGACTTGTTTGCATTTTCATGTCACCAATTGTTTTCTCTTTTCTGGGGTAAACAGCTACAACACCTTATTACTCCTTGATAAACTTTGATACAAAACATTAAATAAAAATTAGAGAAGAAGTAACAGAAAGGGGTCATTACAGTAGAGACATGTAAGATTGTCAACTTCAGTAAATAGAGTATAGTTCAACCAAATCTTTCCATAATGCAATCAGCATACTAGATATAACTTATTAAAATTCGTCAAAAAAATGTATTGTTAGTTGAAACAGTATGCTCATGTTTTTCTCTTTAGAATGTTAGTAGTCTCACACAAAATCCTTTGTTTAGAAGTGTGATCCCTGGCATTGTTGCTCTATCATTTTCCTAGAATTGATTTGCCATCAGGGAGATTGTTTTGTCAAGGTAATTTAGTGCTATTTGCAGTTGCCAGTGTTCTTAGCTTATGGTAAACAATTAAGAAATCTAACACAAAATAAAATAATATGCTCTTCCTACTTATCTATGTGGTTCTCAGCAGACCTTTCCATATGCAGTTATCTTAAATACGATGAAGATCTTAGTGGTGTATTTTGCAAGAAAGCACATGCTCTGTCTTCTGTACCCTACTGAAAGAAGTTATGGAGATGGACTCTGGGCTGTTCACTTATGCCTGTTTTAGCGCTCAGTTCCTGAGTATTTAACTGTTCTGCAGGGATCTTCCTTTGACTTTTGGTTGTGAAGTTAGAGAAGATGTATGCTGCAGGCAGTAGTGAATGTACACACACCCTGATGAAATTAAGTGATATTCTGTTTCCATAGTGAGCAATTTTAATGTGCATTTTTTCTGTATATCCCAACAGTTCAATCTAAAAATATAAGTAAAAGTTTCTTGTTATCATGCTTGTATATAATTTTGTGTTTGGGCTGAGGA